TAGAGAGAAAGTCCATAATACTTCCAAAAAGATGGGACTAATGCCTATAAAGCAATTAGTTACTCATGATGGTAACCCGACCTAAATGACTGGAGATCCCAAGACTTAGGTTCAATGGGTAATAACAAGTTGTGAGTAATATGAAAATGATCATACAAGTAAAGCATGAATCCTGAAGTAATGAGAGGATGGGATAATAGAAACTCTTAATGAGATATATACTCTGTATGAGGGAGTACCTAGGCTACAGGAGTACTCTTGATAGATTCACCTATGTGACTGTGGAACTGAGGCCGGTTCCTATGGAATTTCGAGGCAGAATTCCTAGAGCATTCACTAAACCGGGATACACGTGCAGAGCCACTAAAGCACGGGCTACAAAAATACACCTTATGGAAAGGTTGTGTGCGGGTCTGATGTCCGAGATAGAGTTCAAGACAATGGTGTCACTCTTGTTGAATCAGAATCCTACTCGCTACGCTAAGGTTCAAGTCGTAGACACCTCTGCTTATGCTCAATCTTAGAAACGTCTGACGTACTTCTAAAATCTCTTTTAAATTCAAGTGGGGGAATGTTGGAATTATATTAATTAGAGTGGAAATTGGAAAGATTTATTGACAATTAATGGGCAATAAATGAACACAAGTAAGAACTAATATAGAAGTGAATTTGAAAAGATTCATTTTAGTCCCACATTGAAGGGAATGGAAATATTAGTAGTGTTTATATATTCCAACTTGGTCAATTGGGTTGGGCCCTAAAGGGCACCCAATTTTGTGAAAGGAGTGAGGACACACCCATGACCATCAAGACACACACGCGCGCGCGCCGCCGTCCTGCCGGCCGGCTCGGCTCGGCTCGGTTCGGTCCGGTCTAGATGAATTATTTTTTGGACCCGAATTTATATAATTTAATTATCATTAATTAATTAATATAATTCGGTGGAAAATTAATTAATAATAAATATTAATTAATTAAGAAAATAATTGGTCAGTAACTGCCATATTGACTAGATCCAGTATTTTTCCATTCTCCCACGATTTTCTCCATTCACCACGAATTTCTCCCTACTCAGCCTTACTAGCTGCCTATAAATACAGGGTAGAAGTTCAGTAGTGATAAAGCGAATTTCAAAAAAGGTTCACACGAATTTTGATTTCCATCTTCTCTCCCTTAATTCTCTTCGTCTACAAATCCTTCCTTTCTTGTTTTTTCTTGTTTTTTCGACTGACTATTTTCGCCAGATACTGTGACTTAGAAATGTGTATTTCTAGAGCGATTTATCAATCATAAGTTATTGAACGAGCTGTTTTATCCTGGAGACGTCGTCGTAAATCGACTGCTTTGCATATTTTGGCAGTACGGCGAAACGTCTTAAAGAAAGCGACCTAGTACGCGACTCGTCCTGATAATTTCCTTGTGCCAAACTCAAATTTTCAAATCCGAAAACAACAGTTGTATGTAATCTAAATCACTCATAAGTATCATCACTTATCGCTCACATCAACGTCCATGTCTGTAACACCGACGAGAGTTCAACTGTAATGTTTAATCAACGACCACTCAGCCTATCAAACAACACGGAACATTAAAATTTGATACTCACGTGAATGTTAAATATAAATCTATGTCTAGAGCTTTGCGTCTAACATATGTTCATCATAGATCTAGATCTGAAGAGTATATATCTATAACAGTTCAAATCAAAGATAAAACAAGCAAACAAAGATGACATCCATATAGATAAATTAAAATAGATCGTATACAATGCCATGATTAACAAATATACATACTTTTTACAAGTAAATTTACATACAATCCATAACAAGAAAGAGATTACAAGGAGAAGAAGGAAGAAGAACAAACTTTCTTTGCGGTGTGCCAATGATTTCGGTGTTCCAACAAAATAATAACAAGTAATATATTATATATTAATAATGATAATTAAAATTTTATTTACCAAATTTATTTATTTATTTATTTATAAGAATTATAAATAAATAGCAACCCATACATTTTTTTTGCATTGTGACCTTGTTGAAAATACTTATCACATCCTTTTATGTGGCTATATAGAAAGCTCTTGACATTCCAATCAATTGGAAAATTGTATTTCAATTCAGCATTGTTAATCACAAAACATAAAATACAAGAGCTTATCAATTTCTTTTGATTTGTTTAAGTATCCAAATTTAGCAATATAATGCATAAGCAAAATACTAAAAACATAGCAACATAATGCATAAGCAAAATACCAAAAACAGTAGCCGTAAATATTGCATTGCAATTTGAACAATTCAACCAACACACAATTCTCCATATCATCAAGGCATAAATGAAAATAAACCTTAAAAAATTGGAAGATTAAAACAAATCCTAATTTGAGAAAATAAAGGTTCCAAAAAAAACTCTTAAAAAAACAAATTGAATCTGATATGAATGATTCTGACACCACTTGTTATATTTGTTCACAACTTTATTATTTCTATCAATATAGAAATGAAGAACAAAACTCTAAAATAATCCTTATAAGTCTATATACCATCAACTTGTATTCATTAAACCAATATCATAATTGAATCAGAGTATAAAAGCAGGAGGGTACTTGAGTTTGCCATTAAGAATCACTGAAGTTTTGTGCGTATTTGATCTTTTAATTTGTAGAATTTTTTTATAACTCCTTGAATCTCCTCGGATAGGAATGAAGAGAGAATTTTATTGACGAGTGGTTTTCACATTTTCTATAAATGGGGACCATAACTGTTATAAATAACATTAAAGTTATTTCTTAGTTTTCAATATTATAATTTGACCGCTCATCAAATTAGATATTGATTTATGATATCTACACAATAATCTCATATTTTATGATATTTATTCTTTTAATCACATATTTAATATTAATTAGACCACTCCAATTTTAACTAATTAAATAACGGTCCTAACACATGCAATATTACATATGTGACCCAAAAATTCTAACAAATCAATCTAACTGAATTGACCAATTTTCACGATCAATCAATTTTCTAACTGGCTAACCTTTCTTAAGGATATTAAATAAAATGTTTAAATTAGGGGTGACAAAATGAATGGATTGGATGAATGTGGATTAGATTGTTAATGGATGGATTAAAACAATCTACTAAAATTTTCTTAAAATTATTCAATCCAATCCATCCATTAAGAATAAAATTCATCCAATCCATCCATTAACATATTTTTAATGGATGAATATCCATCCATCCAACTTTTTTTTTATTTTGTAAGAATAAATAAATTTTTTTATTTTTGAAAAATTCAGTTTTTGTATATAAAAAAAATTATGAAGTCGATTTTTTGTATTTTAAAAAAGTCGGCATTTTTTTTGGGAAATTTATTTTTATTCAAAAAAATTGGTTTTTTGTTTTGAAAAAAAAATTGTTTTTTTCTTTAAAAAACCATTTTTTTTTAAAATTGACTTTTTTTCAAAAAACAAATCAGTTTTTTATTTCGGAAAAAAAATCGATTTTTCACACAATAAAAAATCGATTTTTTTTCGAAAAACAAATCAGTTTTTTATTTTAGAAAAAAAAATCGAATTTTTACACAATAAAAAACCGATTTTTTTTTTCAGAAAAAAGAAACTGATTTTTTTCGGAAAAAAAATGAATTCTTTTTAAAAAAATCTTTTCAGAAAAAAAATATCGATCTTTTTTTTTTTTTGAAAAAATTACAATTTTTTTCTTTTAAAAAATTTATTTTTAATTAGATTTTAAAAAATCTATTTTTAATTATTTTTAAAAAAATAATATAACAAAAATAAAAATAATCTATTGGATTCTTAAAATATGTTGGATGGATTGAATCCATCCATGCATATAAATGAATGAATTTAATCCAATTAATTAACTTATTTTTTATGTGGTGGATGGATTGAATAAATTTTTTGATGGATGGATTAGATGGATTTTGTTTTAATGGATCCTATTGCCACCTCTAGTTTAAATATAGTTTAAAGATTAGACACAAAAAGATGAAGAAAGAACAAGATGATTCGAGTCAAATTATAAGGTTATGATTTCAATAAAAGAAAGAATGATTTGAATCAAAGATAGTTAAGTGAATAATTTATTATTTTGATTTGAATCGTGTTTTGTGTATATGATTAGAGTCACACTAAAGTATGATTCAAATCACAACTAATTTTGAAGAACATTTTGATTTTAATTTTTCAAATCACATAGCTTGTGATTCGAGTCAAGATGTGATGTGATTCGAATCACACTTTTTTGATTTAAATCAAGTTGGTATAATCAAATTCTAAACTTCAAAGCAAATGTTTGATTCAAATCAAACACTTATATGATTCAAATAAAGCTTTACAAAAGAATGCATTCTAAACAAATAAATGAAATCATCATCTTGCAAACAAATTAAAAATAACTTACAAAATACGCGATAAATTAAATTACATAGAAAGAACAATTTAAAATAGAACATCAAAATCAAAATAAAATGATATCTTATGCAATGCAATTTCAAACAATACTTAAGTTGACATTTCCTCTAATTTCTCTAATTATTTTTTAGTCTATACTATTGCCTAGAATAATATCATAAATCTTAAGTATGTTTAAAGTATCATTTTGCCTAGAATAATAGGTAAAAAGAGAAAATGAAAAAACTGAGGAAAAGTGAAAACTTCACTTACTGGATTATGTAAGGTTAGATATGTTTCTCAATTAACTGTATCAAATATGTCAATAAAATTGATTTTGTTTACTTCTCCTCTTCTAAGAAACATCAAAAGAGCATCATATTATGTTGTCCATTAAAATTCTTACCAGACAGGAAAAATACACTGTCCATCAAAATCCATACTAAACATCAAGAACATCGCCAACAACAACCAATAACAGGGAATCAATAAAAAAAGCTATTAAAAAACTTCCGTCGTGCAACACGCGGGTCTTATTCTAGATAGTAATAATTTCCAACCAGTTGATATTTCAAAGAACTTAGTTAGATTTAAAGGGCTTATAGGTCTTAAGCCCTAAGATGATTCCTTGAATTGATGCAATGATCCCCATGAGAGCTACAATCAAGCATAATCCAACTATCAGTCTCATCCCAATCCATTTAAGAGAATACTTTGGCACTTTAGTTCGTGTCAGATACATCTCTATTGGAAAGTACACTGTCAATGGAAAGAACGATATAGCTCCTATCAAACCCACAATGTTGTTGAAGAATGGAAATATCATAGCAATCAATGTTGTGAACACCACATATGTTGACCTCCATATCAACCTGAACATGTTCATTCTCCATGTACCAACCATAGGAATTCTTACATTATATTCTTTTGTCATGAACTTATTTTCTGGCCAACGTGTATCAGTCCAACTTTCCACAGCAGAAAATATAGGTTGTGCGAATACCTGATAGGCTCCAACTAGATGAATAATGACGAACAGATTACCAATGTCGATTAACCAAAACGGTTCGTAAAAGCCAAATCCAGTTAAAAAGTTTCCTGGTGCATTGTTCCCGAACGCTGCATAACCTAGAAGACCACATGATGCATAAAAGATTGTGCTGCTTGTGATTCCAATAAGCGATGCCGTCTTCATGACTTGATTTTCTGGTGGACTTGGTTTTAACGTGTCCTATATAGAAAAATTTTGAATCGAGTCTTAGTATTGTAAACTTGAGAAATTGTGAAAACTGTTTTGCCTAAAATTATTACTTGCCTCTATCTCAGCAATGACATTGCTGAAAGTGTATGCAAATGCTATGTTTGCAATTGCTTGAAAGGTATTCCACACCTTCTCTGTCCTTGTCACTTCCACTCCAACAACAAGTCCCGTAAGGCTTGTCTTGACATGGTGTCCTTTTTCTATTTATGTCAAAAACAAAACAAATCATTCACATGTTTGTTACATTAAAACAAAACAAAACACTACTATATAAGATACATTTTACATCGGGTTAAATAGACTTTTCACATCGGTTGAACTTCCGAGATAACGTAGGGTGTTATGGTAAGTCTGTTACAGATGTGAAAAACAACTATCACCTCGTTCATCAATTATTGTAACTAAAAGATATGCCTAACCTGCAACTTTGGCTATGGAGAGTATAACGCCTATGAAAGAATATCCAAAAGACATGATTGCAGCAATAATAGAGAGCCATGAAAGGTCATGGAAATTTGGGATTTGGCTTAGAAATATCTGTGTAACTCCAAAGATGGCCATAAACTGATTATTAGATGAATTGCAGTCTGCTTGGTGGCCAAACTTATGAAAGCAATCTGATTTTTTCATTGCCCTGGTGCATAAACAAGCAAGTATTATTACTATCATGGTGCATAATCATGAAATAAGGGTTTAAGTAAGATTTATTAGGTTCTTACACCATGCTTATGGCTGCTGTGAGAGTGTAACCAATTGTACAACCGATAAGATTTGTGTACTGAGCCACTCCACAAAACTTGTACTGAACTCCTCCTGAGAAAAAAAGATAGAAAGGCTACAATGCAACAATCAATTAAGAAAAATGTAGTGTTTTGTACTACATTGTACATGTTATCAATAAATTACTTCAGACTATGCAAGATTGAAATTTGACATGACAATAAAATCTAAAACCGTTTGAATCCATCCAAAACCACTCTTACTTAAGCGATGAAACTTCGCTTGAACAAAGTCTAAGTGTGAGATTTCTTTGATATCTAAAGTGAGGAGTATGGATGACAATGGATTGTGCCATGAACATGAGTACTAGTTTCCTGCTATCTATTGAATAAACAGATATACATGATGCTAACTGCCCCATAACCTTGTGGATATCCACCAAATCAGTATTTTTTGATTTTTAGATATTTACTTATATTTACAATTATTCATGAATACTATTATTTAAATATCTTTTGAATTTAATTGATATGCACTGATAATATAAATTTTTATACTGTCCGGTAATTATCAGAGTTAATTTATGTGAAATGTTTGACTTTTATTTTAACCATTTAAAAAGTAATACCAATGAATGGTTGTGATTCATTGTTAATGTAAAATATTTTACACTGAATAACAATTAATCTCATATTTTTTTAAAACTTTTATGATTCACTAAAATTTATTTATACTCTTTTAAATGCATATAAAAATAGTTTCAAATTTTGCACAAAATAATAATAATAATAATAATAATAATAATAATAATAATAAAAAAAAAAAATCATTTTATTCATCAATTTTACCATATAATTAAACTAGATTCCACAATAATAATAATAATAATAATAATAATAAAATAATGATTTTATATTCAACAAATTAATAGTAATTATAATAAATAACATTTTCATATTCAACAAATTAATAATAATAATAATAATAATAATAATAATAATAATAATAATTTAATAATAATAATAATTTTAAATTCAATAAAATAATATTTTGATAATTATTAATGAATAAGAATTCCTACTAATATCAACGTTGTATTTGTATTTGTAAACTTACGAATAGTTAAATATTAGATAATTTTACTTAAAAATATAAAATAGTAAACTACTCTTAATTATTTATCACAAAGAGAGAAAAAGTCATATAAATTTATAAAATATTAAAAGTAAAATAGAAAAAAAAATCATTTTTTAAAAAATAAAAATAATTATTAATTTTCTATATATATATATATATATATATATATATATATATATATATATATATATATATATATATATATATATATATATATATATATATATATATATATATATATATATATATATATATATATATATATATATATATAAAAAGTAAAAAGTCAAAAAATAATACTTAAAAAGAAAAAGAGAGTATTAGACAAGTGTTAGATTTTATATGTAGAAATCTATGAATATAAATTATTTGACATCCCATCCCTACTCAGGAGCTTAATATAAGATTTGACACAATAAATAAGGTTGTGCATGAGATCTGACACAATCAATAACAGCTAATTCTTAACCTGTTTTTACCTCGATTATAAAACATCAAATACTAAATTTTGTAATTAATTACCTAGAATAGTTTTGACCATGGTCATGTAGGTGGGGTTTCTTTTCCCATGAACAGGATCAGGATACCTATAGCAATCAGCCATGAGAATGGAAGTGAGCAGAGTGATGAGAGAGAAGATTATGAGAGCAGCAGTCCCTCCAATCCATCCCAACTGAGCAACAGCCCATGCCAATGACAGCACTCCTGATCCTATTGCAGTCGTCACTATGTGTGCACTCGCAGTTAGCCATGTTCCTTCATAAATCATAATCATACTAATTAAAACATGTCACAATGAGAAGAAAATAAAGAAGAAATATTAATGGACTAATTGATGAATCTAGTTTGTATCACAGAACAATTAAGATACAAACCAGTTCGTTTTATGTCACCATCCTCTATGGAGAAGCTATTCTGTGGTGCCATGATTTTCTCTAGCTCTATTTTCTTTGAAAAAATGATAAGACTTTTTGTAAAATAATTTAAGAATTCAGGAAAGGTTTAACCAAGGTTAACTTTAATGCTAACAAATACTTTATACAGCTGGATTACTTGAAAACTATAAAAAAACTGATGCTCTAACTTTTATATATAAAAAAAGGTTGTATTCAAAGTATTGGAAATGGAAATTCTAACCTTTTTCAATAATTCTATTTTTTTTTCATTTGAAAAACTGATTAAAATAGTATCATTGAAGCAAAATAAATTTAAAAATCATTTGTTACCTTTTTTTCATATAATATGTATTTAATTAAAATTTGTCTTTGAGTTTAAGTTTCTTTTATATACATTTTTCTTTTTTTATTATTTATTTAATAGTCAACAAAAACTCAAATAAATACTTAGAGAAAGGGAAAAATGTGGTGTCCAAAATTCAAAAATTAATACTTAAATGAAATATTATTACGGTCAAATCTTTAGAGTATGTTTAGATTAGGTAATTGAAAAATTATAAGAAATTTTAAATTCTAATCATCTCAATTGATTCAATTAAAACACATTTATTATTAATTGTATTATTGAATAAAATATTAAAATAAATCATTCTTAGATTTTTTGGGTAATTTTTATAAATTTCAAAGTTTTAGAGTCAAATTTTAAATTTTAGAAAATAGGGAATAATTTTTAAAATTTATAAGTTAGTAAAAACTAATTTTCCATTGTTTTGTATATTTTGAGGGTAGTTTTAAAACATTGGAAACAAAAATTTGAAACAATAACATTAATAAGCAATTTAACATTAAAATTTTATGCAATATGCGAGAATATTAAAATTCTTTAATTTTAGATATCATTTCAAAATCATAAAATTTTACTTGAAAAAAATAACTCATAAACTTACATCATTTAAGTAATTCTTCATATTTTTCATCCAAACAATAATTTTTTTTCAAAACATTTTAATTTCTCTTAAAATATTATATTCTTTCATTAAAATAACTCATTCAAATATACTTTTAAATATAACAATTATCAAAATTTCTATTTAAATTATAAATAAATTTATTGAATGTAATCGATTTAACTAAAATTCGATCTTCAGATAAAATTTATTTATGTTTATCCATTAATATAAACAAATTAATGATATATATATATATATATATATATATATATATATATATATATATATATATATATATATATATATATATATATATATATATATATATATATATATATATATATATATATATAGAGAGAGAGAGAGAGAGAGAGAGAGAGAGAGAGAGAGAGAGAGGTAGGCCCTCTAGAAGAGCAACTCACTTCCCAAATCTTTTGAAGGCTCAAGCATGTCTTTTTAATAGACTTAAAAAATAATATTATAAACATTTAATACGTAAAAGGAATACTATACTACAAATTCTATAAATAAAAAATTGATCTAAAGTAAAGAAAACCTATAATTAAATTTATTGATTAATATATAATTATATTTTAATATGTTATTTTTAATTATTATAATTATATTTTTTAAATTTAAATTTATTTTTTAAATTCGAATGGATCCTCCAGATTAAATGAACCGCCGACAATGTATATAAAATAAAATTTTAAAATTAATTATCTATTATATTTGTTTTAAATTATATGTTGTTTTTTTAAATATTAATATTTAAACTATAATTTATTCTAGAATTTAATAAAATATCAATATTATTTTACCATCATAATTTTTGTTGAATTGTAATTTTTTGTATCGAAGCAGATTGTTCGGCAAAGACAAAAATATTAATATTATTTTATTTTAGGATTTAATGAAATATTAATACTATGTCATCATCATAAAAATATTAATATTTAAACTAAAATTTATTTTAGTGTGTGTCAAAATTGTTTTGTTATCGAAGTGTTAGAGGAGTAGCCTTGACATGGATTTTGGATTCGGGCATAATTTTGTAGTGTTAAAAAAAATTAGGGATTCTATAAACAGGGAGTGACCCCTATTATTGTAGAGTGATTCACTTGAATAAAATTGCAGTTTTGAGAGCAGAGAGTTTCTCTGTAGAAATTCTTCTTCTTCCCCTTTTTGTTTTGAATCCTTAATTTTCTTTATTCTCAATTCAGATTTTGTTTTTGCATTATTGTTGTGCTGCAAAATTGATTTGAAAAATTGATCGGAAAAATAGCAAAATCGATCTCAAGGATTGCGTAGGAGAATATAAGCTCTATAGTAATTCAATTAAACAAAAGCAATTGGAAGTTTGGAAATTGTTTTTAAAATTAAAAGTTGCAATGATAAAAATAAGACAAACGATAGAATAGGATTCTGACAGATATGAGAGCATACTAGGGGTAGTGTATAAATTTCCTTGTAACAATATCAATCCTTATTTCAAAGACATAACACAAATTATCAAGTTCTTGATTGGAAATTTGTTTACTCTTAAATCCTTAGCGAGAAAAACTCTTAATCGCATAACCTAATTATTATGTCCGGTATTTCTAGTCCTAAGTAATATCTACCGAAACATTATCGATTAAAATGCGTTAACGATGGTTTGTCTGACCTAAGGTTAACCGTAAATCTAAATCAATTTGTCCGATTAAAAAAATATTAAGAATATTGAACGATAAAACTTGATTAGTAAAATAAGTACTTATGTCATTCAAATAAAAGGAACAATATCATTACAGAAGCAATTCAGAGACACCCCCTAGCATTAGGGGGTTTAGCTACTCATAATAATCAGAGAAATTACTCATGAAAATCTCTATTCCTCACTTTTCTGGATCGTTCCAATCTTGATCGTGAAAATTCTTGGTTGTCAAAAAGTCCTTTTTTTCCTTCTCAAAATGCGTCTTAAATATTTTCAGGTCCAGCACAACAGTAGAGAAATACCCAAATTACCCTTAAGAATCACAACGGTCACAAAAACAAAAAAAATAGGGATTTGACACGACCAAGCCAACACGGACCGTGTCAGGTGACATGGGCGGCCGTGTTGGCCCCTGGACACAAGATGTGAAGAATTCGTGCCCCAGACTTGCTGACACGGGCACCCGTGTCAGCCCACTGCCCATACTTCATCTTCTTCTTTTTGAGTTCCTCTTGACACGTCCCGTGTCAGGTGACACATGTGACTGTATCGGGCCACTGTATCTCTTCCAAAAACTCCTTCGGATTTCCAGAATTTCCATTTTCTTCACCTGAGTCTTTTGGCCTTTCCTGCATGGACCTAAAATCATAAAAACTACAACCAAACGCGTAAAATAAAACAAAAAGTGAAATAACACTAGAAAACATAACTTTTAAGAATAAAATAAGAACTGTCAAATTTACTTTAAAACGATAAAAAGAATAGACAAACTATTACCGATTCGTGGATGAAATGCTTAAAAAGTGACGGAAACATAATAAAGATGGTGACCGATCACAACCCCAAACTTAGCTCATTGCTTGTCCTCAAGCAATGCTCGATACGGTAGACAGGTCACCCCCAAAAGCTACACAGTCGACTTACCACAACACTGCTGAAATCTTTCGCGACTCTCTTTTCACTTTTTCTGTCATGTTTCTTGCTACCCCGATTTGAACTTCTGCTACACTTCCACATGAAAGCACCTCTTTACCTGCCATCTTTTTCACACTCTCACCAAAATCTCTCTGGGCTAAAGTGTTTACACTCAAAGCCAGAGCATGCAAAATATACTCATAAGCTTGAATAACATTTTTTTTCATCACACACAAACACAAACACACACACACACACACACACACACACACACCCCACACACTTTTTGAGGTCTTTTAAGGTTGTAATGGGGCTAAGGGTTATGGTAGGATAAACAAAAATGGGAAAATAAGTGGTTTTGGACTCAGAGTCCGTGTCGTCATTTTTCACTGTGTTATTTGCACTGTTCATGATTAGGAGTATTAGAAACCTCTTTAGAGGATTCATTAATTTCTACTCAATAATTTTTCCTTGAGCATGCATTCTCAATTTTTAAACTAACTTTCTCCTCTAGGTACATGCTTTATTAATTTTTTCTCATAATATCTTCTTTCTCTTTTTTTTTTCCTTTTTTTTTTTTTCAGTTGCACTGACCTAGTTGTTTATGTGTGTCCACCTCAAACTTAGAATTTTCCACAGATCACATTGACAACACCTATCTGAGTGGGGTAGGGAATTGTTTAGGCTAATGGTTTAAATAATATGGTTATAAACAAACAAGTGGAAAAATGGCTCAAATTGGGTTAACAAAGGATAAAAATAAAAAGGGTGGCTAGAACGGTTTTGGGTTAACAAAAAAAAAAAAGCCTCGGTGTGTATAAGTGTGCAGTGAAAATTTCAACAGATAGTACACAAGCTCGGAGCGAAAAAGACATACTTGGACCTCTCTCATGATGCCTAATGTGTTTGGCTTATTTGTCCTCACCATGTTTGGTCTAGCTAAACAGGTTCCAAAGTGCTTATAGTATGGTGCAACTTCCTCTCCAGTTCGGGTGCACAGTACTCCAAAAACAGTCAGGTGTCATAGAGTAACGTCCAATTTTTTATTCAGTAGTATCAAAATTTTAGGGTTTCTTGGAGAGTCAATAGGGGTTGAATCTTCTCATCCACTGGTACACATTTCATCCCTCAATCAGCAACAACACCATGGATTTGTAATGAAAACAACACAACATACCAAACTCAAAGTAAAATCCAACATAAACTACGGAAAATAATTGAAACAAATAAAATACTAAAAAACAATACCCCCCCCCCCCCCCCCCCCCACACACACACACTTGAACTAAACATTGGCCCAAATGTTTCAGTATAAGTGAGAGAGAGGAACATACAGAGCCTCACTGTAGGGGAGGGAATTGCAACATCAGTTGTTGCATCATGGCATGCATCTCGTCCATCACTGCCCCTTGGCGAGCTTGCTCCTCGCTCTGTCGGGTTTGCTCTGCCCGAAGGTACTCGATCTCATTG